CGTGGGTAATCACCAGTTAGGGGTCATCATTAGGTTCCAGAGCGTACAGCCCAGGCAGCGGGTCCTCCCGGCACTGCTCACTCGCAGACCCAAGGACCTGGGGTATCTCCGCACCCGTGTCTCACCTGCCTCCGTGTCCCGCAGGTGTTCAGCGGGAAGCGCCCCGAGTCGGAGCTGCCACCCCAGCCCCAGAGCACCTTCCGCAAGCCCCCCACGCCACCGCCTCCCGAAGCCGGGGGCCAGCACTCCCTCACCTGCCTCGTGCAGGAGCGGGACCTCTCGCTCTTCGAGAAGCTGGTGACGGTGAGGGGGTCACAGGGGGGGAGCTGGGCACGGGACCACCCCGGGGGGGAAGACAAGTGTCTAGTGGAGCTCACCCTCACTTTGGCCGTAGCTGAATGTGGCAGTGAAGTGCCTCAAGACTGACGTGCTGAGCCAGCCGGAGGCACTGGACGACTTCATTCGGGAGGTGAACGCCATGCACTCCCTGGACCACAGGAACCTCATCCGCCTTTACGGTGTGGTGCTCTCCCACCCCATGAAGATGGTGAGTGCAGGGGGACGGGGCCGACCCCGATGCCGCCCCATGGGTGGGCTGCATGGTGGGGCAAGCAAAGCCAGGCTGGGTCTGTACCCCGAGTCCTCCGCTGGCATCCCCAGGGGGACACGAGAAAGATGAAAACCAGCCCAACCAGGGTTCCCCTGGCCTGACCAACCTGCTGTCCCCTCCCCATGGCCCAGGTGACAGAGCTGGCCCCGCTGGGCTCCCTCCTGGACCGCCTGCGGAAGAACCAGGGCCATTTCCTCATCTCCACCCTCTGCCAGTATGCCATCCAGGTGGCCAAGGGCATGGCCTACCTGGAGTCTAAGCGCTTCATCCACCGTGACCTGGCTGCCCGCAACATCCTGCTGGCCTCCAACGAGCTGGTCAAGATCGGGGACTTTGGGCTGATGCGGGCCCTGCCCAAAAATGACGACCACTACGTGATGCAGGAGCATCGCAAGGTCCCCTTTGCCTGGTGAGCCCCAGGGAGGGGGGGACCTGGGGTTGCAGCACCCACGACCTCCTGATGCTCATGTCCTTCCCCGTGCAGGTGTGCTCCCGAGAGCCTGAAGACGCGCACCTTCTCCCATGCCAGCGACACCTGGATGTTTGGGGTGACCCTCTGGGAGATGTTCACCTATGGGCAGGAGCCCTGGATCGGCCTCAATGGCAGCCAGGTGGGTGCACGGCAGAGACCTGCCCCCCCCCTCCCTGCCGGCAGCACTGGGGGGGACCTGGAAACCCCTGATGGCACCACCTGCCCCGCAGATCCTGCACAAGATAGACAAGGAGGGCGAGCGGCTGCCACGGCCCGAGGACTGTCCCCAGGACGTCTACAATGTCATGCTGCAGTGCTGGGCACACAAGCCTGAGGATCGACCCACCTTCGTGGCCCTGCGGGACTTCTTGGTGGAGGTGGGCGAGCGGGTGGGGAGGGGGGAACAGGGGCACATCAGCTCTGCCTGAGCGTGGGCAGAATTAAGGCTATCACCGAGGCGGGAGGTGACGTTGGAGGGCTTGGGCCAGGCAGCTCTGCAGGCTGGGAGGTGGTGGGCGGTGACATGGTCACAGCAGGAGGACCTCTGGGTGCCACCTTGTCCTTGTGGAGCATCCAGGTGCTGTGGGTGCCCTTGCCCACCCCGGGGATGTTGCAGCTCGGGAGTGGCTGGGAGTGGTGGTGCTGTCTCCTGCCCGTTTTTGGGGCTGCTCTGCCCTCCGTGGGGCTGGGCCTGGCCCCGAAGCTAGGGGGGATGGACATGATGGGGGGGCTGCATCCCCTGTCCTCACCTCCCCCTCTCCCCCCAGGCCCAGCCCACTGACATGAGGGCGCTGCAGGACTTCGAGGAGCCTGACAAGCTGCACATCCAGATGAATGACATCATCACGGTCATCGAGGGCAGGTATTGCACGGCTTGGGTGGCAGGTATTGCAAGGGGGGGCACGGACCCACGGCCCGGTTCAGGGCGGCC